TACGAGCCTGTACAGACACAGATATAAAGTGCAACCTGACTGGCAAAGGGAGGAACACAATCAGTTTTAGTTTAATGTTTTTGTTCATGGCCGTTTCTCTTCCCTTTTTCAGGGTCACACGATCAGTTGGTGTCCCCCTCGGCCTGCCTGGTGGTGGGGAAGGTCGTCAAAGGTGGAACAGGACTGTTTGAACTGAAACAACCCCTGCAGTAGGAGAGGGGATACCACAGTCGGCAGTAGCAGTAGCAGAATGGTTGAATGAGACATTTGACACCATGACAGAGCTGAAGTGGCTTCCCTTTCGCTTTTGCAGACACAAACCGTCTGACACACCCACATTTTCTGACGATGATGCCTGCTTTTGGGTGTGACAACATGACAAATGCTTGTGTCTTGAAGAAAATTGTTCCTGAATGAACTGAAAACAAATGTAACCCAGATTTTTATTATATAAAAAAAAAAAAATCACATTATAAAAGGATACATAGTGGGAGATTACAGGCACAAAAATGTAACACCATACCCACACACATTTTTTTTTTTTTTTTGTCTCTTTTGTATTTAATAATAAAATAAAAAATAAAAAATGTGTATAAAACTTGTTGTTTTTATTTCTTTGTGCCTTTATTTGAAACCTTCAGTGAGCACAGTTATTATGATCCGCTCACAGGACAAATCCCTAGGGATGGACGGGGCTCTTACGTAAGAAGTGTTTCGGCCGCTGATTGGCTGGTCAGCCCGAAGGGGAGGCTGACGAAGCGAGCTCATATAAATACCATTAGGTCATTAGTTATTCTAGTCGGTTCGTGATGGCGGAGCTGAGCGGCCCACACAGACGTGAGTAAATCCATGACGATGGAGAAACTGCTGTTTAAAAAAAGGGTTTTAATTAAAAGTGGGCGAACGGCGCGAACTGCGTTTACGTTACCGTTGCGGTTACCATAGCACACCAACGTTCGGCTAACTGCCCCCCTCCTCGACGACCAACGGACAAACGACCGTTAGTATTCTGTCTCTGTCCGTTGCCCAGACGTTGGGACGGTTTGCTGACGGTACCGTTGACCGTTGGTGAGGTGTGGACCCGAACAACCTCCCTGATGCTAATACATATATTATTTAACGTTATCTAACAAAATGGCAAAATTTACTTAAGTATAAAGAGTATAAAGTCTTATTAACGGTTAAGTAACGTTACTGTGCTTAAGGGCATTTTTAGTTAAATATTTGGGTGTTTTTTATTTATTTAATGTTATTTTCCCTCTCCTATACTATTTTTACTTTTAACTCAGTAAAATATATCTGTATAAATCCTCTTTTAAGTATTAAAAGTAAAAGCTGAAACCATGAAATGTTTTAAATAGTTGCAGATTAATTTTCGGTCATTGATTAATTGATTAATAGTTTCAGCTGTATTTGTATAAACTGTTTGTTCTTTGTGTGTTTTGTGGCCAAAAATCTTTTTTTTTTGTATTTGTAAGGTATTTTCCTGTACTATAAATATAAATATAGCCTAGTAGAAATAGAAAAAATAGTACTTTAGTACACTACGTTAAATGCTGCCTCTATCTTAATGCATTAATAATAATAATAATATAATAATACAACATTAACACTGTTCAAGGAGCCATTCTGCACAATAAGTACTCTCTCTTTTGATCTATTTTCCTTTTTTTTAACTGTGTACTCTCTTACACATTTTGCCGTTGTGTTATTGTGTTATTTATTTCAGTAAATGATTTAAATACAGTTCCTCCAGACTAACCCTGACGGTAACGTGCTTCCCAATTACAATACAGCATTACAGTAAAATACCGTAAAGCTAAAACAACACAAACCGGTTCATCGCTTTATCATTTCTGTGAAACGCGTTGTCACCTAGGTTTTAAAACGAGCTACATAAATAACATTTCACTTACTGATGAGGCCCAACGCCGCCGTGAATCGACCTTTACCTGTTTATTTCCTGGCCATAAACTTTTGATCCTCGTTTGATTCCCCACACTTTAATAATCCACAGACCGAAGGGAGACAACGGGGAAGTGAAGGCACGGCGGACAATAGAAAGAAAGACAACACAACCCCCCAATAAAGTTTGTTGAGATTGTCTCGAAGCTTTGACCTTGTTCGCCGACGTGTCTAAGAGACGGTTTCTGTGCGTTGACAGTATGTCCGAGAAGTGGCCCCTGAGAGCCAGAGGTCTTCAGGCACCGGCGGAGAAACCACAACAGTTCCCAGAAACCAGTGTGAAGGAGAACAACATGAGGCTCCCTAAACGCCTGGTGGCAAACAGGTGACGTTCACACAACGCAAACTGTCCCTTTCACACATTAATATGTTGTTGTTATTTTATTTTATCCTCTTTTTTTCCCCCAACAAAACATAATGAATGTAACTGCTCATTGCAGAAACATTTGTGCGCATTTAAGTAATTTAAACAAAGGCATGCACTTTGTAAACACTGTGTGCAAAATTTACAGTCTTAAGAATGAATTAAAAAGATCTTTACTGCTCCTTCAGTCAGTAACAGAAACACAGAATCAGCCTCTACTACTTTGAAAATATTTTGTAAAATCAAAGTAAATAAAGTTATAAATAAAAAAAAACGAGAATCAGACAATAAAAAAACAATTTGAACCATCGACACGATCTTTGTACCCGTCTGTCATATGTAGAAAACAGCAGGGTGTCCTAATCTGGTTGCATTTTGCTTTGACGGCTCTTCTTCTTCTTCTTCTTTTGATTTGAAATTAAACATATATACAAATCACAGATCCAGTAAATGTACACATTAAACCCCCTCACCATCCTCTGAAGGAAAGGAAAATACAACAGAGGAAATAAAGTGCGATAAAGAAGAAGAGAAAAAACCAGTCTTCACCTACACCTGCAAAGATATCCTCTACTAGTCCCAGTTAGTCCCAGAAAAGGCATCCAGACCTTGTTAAACTTGTCCTTATTACCTCTCAGGGTGAATTTAATCTTTTCCAACTTCAGGTGAAACATAATATCCCTGATCCGTCCGACATGGGGGATGGAGCTCTAACAGTATTTGGCGACGGGCAAGCAAGGTAGTGATGTTAGATGTCCAGTCCCAGTCTGTGAAAGGACGCGGATCAATAACCACACTAAGAACGTCACTCCGGGAATTAAATATCGCGAGCCAGAACGCGCGAGGCGATATGAAGGCGGCCAATTTACAAAAGATTCACTGAACAAAAATGCTGATGTGGTACATGAAAATTTAGCTAAATTCAAGCAAATACTCGCTACCTTATTTAGAAATTTATTTAGCATCCAAGACCAAGAACAGACATTCAATCAGGCTGATGCAACGCAAGTTAAACACAATAACACACAGAAATTAACATAACACGCCACCGAGTCCAACAGGCAAGTTACCGGTAGCAAGTTTGACTTTCCTTTGGACGGTAAGGTTCAGGCTACTCCTCGTTTCATGTCGGAATTATTTTATATATCATATATGATACAGCCGAGTTGGCAGAAGGTTTNNAAGCTGTGATTCTCCGGCAGGCAGCGTGTACATATTCAGAAGAAGACTTCAGCACACGACGGAGCAGATGTCACTCAGTGTGTCATTTTGTGCTTTTTGTTTTTCTTCTTTCATTTCCTTAAAACTTCGAAGTGACACGAGAACAAGATATCTGGGAAATAATCTGCTTTTGTGACGGTTGAGTCGACAAACCGGCACAGATGGATTCATAACGTGTTCTAGCCGTCTCAGGATTAAGGTCTGTGTGTAACGACAGCCAGTGGTGGGAAAAGAAGATGCAGCAGCACATTAAAAGCACAACCAGAGGGATTAAAAAACAGTTTTAAACTTAATGTACAAACTCTGTATGTTTCAGCTGTCACAGTTCAAGGGCTGGCTGCTAATACTGCCAGTGCACAGTGACACTTTGTTTGTTTTATTAACTGCGGTGTTGGACTTTGATTAGTAACCATCTTATGTGGCACATCGCGCTGTTGCAACACGAACTGAAATCTTTATTTGAGGAAGTGGATCAGATGATTAAAATAGGAAGGATTTCTTTCTTTATTTATTTATTTATTTTTGAAGGGGAATCATTTTTAAAAAGTGAGTTTTTTCATGGTTGTAAAGTGCTTAATCCTATATGATAAAATGATTAGGATAATCATTTTCTTTCTCTTTTACTCCAAAACTGGAAGATGGGTAATTCCAAAGATGGATCTATGTTTATCTTTTATTAGTACATTGTATGTTTCATATTTGGCACACAATTGATTTTATCAATAATAATAATGATCCTATAATATATTATTAGACTGACAGGAGGCACTCAGCATAAGGAGTACTACTGTTGATACTTTTGTTACATTTTGCTGTTAATACTTCTGAACTTCTACTCAGCAGGACTTTCACAGTATTTTTGCATTTGCATATATTCATTCCACTCTCACCCCTCTCTTCTTCCACTGTCCCCCTCTCTTCACCTCCTTCCTGTCCCACAACATGCACCCTCTCTCCTCCCTCCATTTTCTCTCTACTTCCATCCTTCCTCTCCTACCTCCTTACTGCCTCCTCATCCTCACCCCACCCTTGTCCCAGTCTCTGCCCTGCACTGCTCCAGCTGTGGATCTGACTGTACCACGGTGCTGAAAAACAATAGTCCAGTCAGCCTATGCTGTGTATGTATGTGTGTGTGTGTGTGTGTGTGTGTGTGTGTAAGGCTGCAAACAATAGTTTCATTATCACTTTCCCACAATGAAAACAACAACTTATACTGTTCTCGGTGTGGCGTTGCCTGTGCGTTCTCCCTTTCTCTCTACAGCCATTAGTTAGTGAGACAGGCAGACAGACAGGCAGAGAGGCAGACAG